TTTTCTCCTGTTTTCGTGGGGTCTGAATATTGTACTCCTCTTCTGATCCTCCTCCCTGATAGCTTTCTTCTGCTTGGCTATTCTACTGGTGACATTTTCCACTCTGCTTTTCACTTGATTCATTTGGTTTTTCACTTCCAACATTTCCATTTGTTTGTTTCAAGATCTCAGTTCTTTGACAAAAATGTCACTCATGTTGCCCACTTGCCCTTCTGTGCTGTGGGCCTCCTTATGTGCACCCTGAAGTAATTTCCTTACCTCATTCATCACTTGTTGACCGTTGTTGACTATTTGTAGTAGTGCCGTTTGAACTCTGTCATTTCTACTGTTTGAGGATCTTTGGAGCTGTACTTGTGAGTTATGAGCTCTTGGCTGCATCGTGTTGTGTGTTTCTCATAGTTCTAGACCGTGAGCAGCAAGCACATCTGTGGTGTAGATACCTCTTCAGGTTTTTTTTTTAATTTTATTTTTATTAATCTTTTGGTTTAAAAAATTATTTCTTATTTTACATATCAACCCTCCCTTTCTCCTGACCCCCACCTCCCACCCTTCCCACCCCCATCCACTCATCAGAGCAGTTAAGGTCTTCCTTGGGGAGTCAACAAAGTCTGGCATACCAAGGTGAGGCAGGACCGAGCCCCTCCCCACTGTATTAAGGCTGAACAAGGTATCCCATCACAGGGAATGGGCTCCAAAAGGCCAGTTCATGTACCTATGATAGGTCCTGGTGACAGTACCAGCCACCCCCAACAGACCAACTCAAATAACTGTCACCCACATTTAGTGGGTCTAGTTCAGCCCCGTGCAGGTTATTGTCAGTCCATAACCTGTGAGCTCCCACTAGCTCAAGTCAGCTATCTCTGTGGTTTTCTCCATCATGGTCTTGAGCTCTCTTATTCATATGATCCCTCCTCACTTTCTTCGACTGAACTCCACGAGCTCAACCCAGTGCTTGGCTATGGGTCATTGCATCAGCTTCCATCAGTTATTAGATGTAGGCGCTATGATGACAATTAGGGCAGTCATTAATCTGATTAAAGAGGAAGCCCCATTTAGAGACCCTCTCCCCTGTTGCTAGGAGTCCTGGGGTCATCCTTGTGGATTCCTGAGAATTTCTCTAGCCCCAGGTTTTTTCCTAAGCCCCCAATGGCTCCCTCTATCAAGATATCTCTTTCATTGATCTCCCCTCCCTCCCTCTTCTTGATTCCTCATGTTCCTGTCCCCCATCCCCTCACTTAAATCCCCCCACCTCAGTTTACCCAGGAGATCCCAACTCTTTTCCCTTCCTGGGGCTCTCCATATTCTATTCAGGTTGTAACTGGAGATCTTCTAAATGAGCAGCAAACTCTTAAGGGCACTGTCCCCAGTGCCAGTTCAAAAAGAGAAAACAACCACCACAATAATGACAAGAACAATGAGACATAAAAATGCACAAAATAAAGACAATGAATATACCACCAATTACTATAGCACAACAACAAGAAAAAGCTATTTAGAGTATTTTGATGGCCATTCTCGTTTGTCAACTTGACTACAACTGGAATGAACTAAAAGGTTCTTTTTAATTAAATCATTTGGAGTGGAAAAAACCCACTTTTAATCCATATCTTTTGAGGGGGGAAGATCCACCTTTAATGGGGGCCACACCTTCTGCTGGCAGCCCTTGTAAAGGACACGGAAGGAGGGAGCTGGCTGTCTCTTTACTTGTTTGCTCTCACTCTTTCTGGCAATTCCATTCCTTCCCTGGCATGAGTGCCTACTTCTTCAGGATTACATTCATACATAAATACACAAATACATATATTCCCATATGCATATAATAAATCGCACATATATTTTCATTCTATAAACTCTATTCTAGAGAATCATGACTAATACAAGTATGCTATGACATGAAAATTTAGTTCTAAAATATTAAATGAATAAGATGAAGAGAATATGGAAAGGAGAAACAAGGTTAAATAAAAAGGAAGTAAAAAGAAGAAGAAATGGAAAAGAATGTCATAAGGCAGGAAAGACATTTAAAATCTGATTGTCCTATAAAGAAAAATATATGAAGTTATTACATAGATAAAATAATTAGATAAATATAAAACACAGAATTTAAAAATGAAAACAAAATCATTTTTATAAGAATAAAGTTGGGAGCCAGGTGTTGGTGGCACACGCCTTTAATCTCAGCACTCAGGAGACAGAGACAGGCTGATCTCTGTGAGTCCCAAGCCAGCCTGATCTACAGAGCAAGTTCCAGGACAGGCTCCAAAGCAACACAGAGAAAGTCTGTCTAGAAACACACCCATCCAAGAGAATAAATTTGGTTTCTATCTTTAATACTTGCTCCTATTATGTTGATCTCACTTCAATGGATAGTCCTACAGCCAGGAGTATGTGTGCAACACAAATAGAGTCTGAGGGTTATTTAAAAGAAAGAGCCTGACCATGGTGGCACACACCTGTAATCCTAGCACTTGGGAGGCAGAGGCTGATACATCTGTGAGATTGAGGTCAGCCTGGTCTACAGAGTGAGTTCCAGGACGGCCAGGGCCACACAGAGAAACCCTGTCTCAAAACAAAACAAAACAAAAACAAAAACAAACAAGCAAAAAACCAAAATAAATAAATAGAAAAATAACCGCAAAGTTGGGGTGGGGTAAGGATTTGGGAGGAGTTGGGGGGGGGGTGTCTGGCTGAATCTAATCAATGTACATTTTATGAAATTCTCAAAGATTTAATGTAAATATTACAAAATAAAATAGTAATTTCAAAAATACTATTACATGTAGTAAAAGGGGGGAGAAATGCAGGTATAAAAAGAAAAGCAAATAAGGAAAATCAAATTCAGCAATTCCTTTCTGGGTTATCTACAACTGGACTCTGACAGATGGGGCAGGATTGGAAGGCTAAGTGAATTTGCATTTCTTATATTTAGCTAGCACTGAGTTTCTCTGATGCTGCCAGAGCTCAGTCTTCAGTTCACCAGCTTCCCTTCTTTGCATTTCAGGATCCCCTGCAGTTCACACTTAGCTTTGAAGTCCTAAACTCCATTTGCAAACCATGAAGTGACTAGTATGCAAACAGAAGGATGCCTCCTGGATGTGTTGAGTGGAGGAAGCAAACACAGCCCTGTAGCCCATGATGGTGGACCGGTCTTCACCTTTAAAGCCAGCTCAGGATGGAGGATGAAGCTGTGGATGCCAGGTACTCAGATGGAGCCTTGAAGTTCTCAGTGCATGCAGCAGCTGACTTTGCAGCAAGTTAGTGTTTCCAGAGGTTGGGTCACTTGTTGACCTCAAACTCAGCACTGTCAGACTCGGCACATATCCTCAGGCCATATGTCTACTGCTGAGGCAGGGCTATCACCTACATTACCAACAAGAGTCCAGGCTGAACTTTTGCACATCAACTCTATCCCTTTCAATTCCACCTTCCACATCAGTCTCTTTCTCAGAGACTGTGGCAGTTTGGCCCCAGATTCAATGACTTAGATAGCTCCATCTTAAATAAAATGCTTTCTCATGATAGCCCTTCATGACAGCCCTCTGAATAATGAGGAATGTAAATAGACATCTTGTCCACTTCCAACATATCACGGCAGAGGAGTCACTAACTCACCAAAACCATTACCTGGATTCGAATCTTGCAAGGACTGTGCACTTGTGTATAGCACTGCCAGTCTTTTGACTTGTCTTCTGAAGAGGCTACTATGTACCATTCTCCCCACATCTCCCTCCTGGTAGTTATCCATGGTTCAATCTGTGCCTGCTTACTCCTTTCCATAGTGTTGCCTTCCTGTGTCTCTGATGCTCTTCCAATCCTTTCTTTTTGGAACAGAGACAATTTGACAATTTATTGATGGGTTTATTACCAGCAGTATGGCCTTGAAGGTAGCAAGAACAAGCAGATGCCTGAAATTTGTGTCAGAAGGATGAGTTTGTGTGTGTGTGTGTGTGTGTGTGTGTGTGTGTGACTATATCCTAACCAGAGTTTATCTGGTTTATCTTAAGCTAGTATCAGAGTCAGACACACCCCAGGGTCCAGCTCTAAACTCCACATACCACTCTAATGGTTTTGTCTGTTTATAATTTGCTGGGAAACTAAATGGGAAAAACTGATGAGGGTTTTTCTGGTACAGCTTTGGCAGTTGTGGAATTTGCTACTCAGGATGATTGGAGTCATGTCAAGCTGAATTCATGGAAGCTTATAATAGAGAAATGCATCAAAGGGAATGGCTTGTACAGAGATCTAAAATTGGCAACTTACAAGATGTGTTTGAGTTGCAGCAGGGGCCAGGGTGAAATTTATGAGTTGGGATAAAGAAGGACAAAGGGTCATTCAGGCCATCGTATTTAAAACTTTGGTGTGTACTTAGTTAAATGGACCTTGATGTCTCAGGAACATGGGGAATGGAGTAAGCAATCAGAAACCTCCTTCATGATCCAGAAAAGACATGATGAAGCTCAGGCCAGGGCCATAGTTATAAGAATGGAGAGAAGTAGAAACTGTCAAAATATCTTCTGAGATCATGCATTCATCAGTCATGTATGGAGTGCCTACTCTTTGCCACGTTGTATTATAATTTATATTAGGTAGAAATGGTTAGTGTCATGACCACATTACATAAGCAATGTAAGTGGACATTTTTATATTTTTCAACACTGTCAGAATTTATTGGATAATAATAATTCTGTAAGCTCTGTCAACTTCACTGGCTTTAGTTCACCAAGCAGTACTGGTTTCACTTGGTAGATATAGCCATTGACATTCACACATTCTTTTATTTCAATTTTAGTTACTAATTTTAACTAACACATCTCACACACACTCATAGAGTTGTGTGGCTTTTCACCCCAAATAGGGTACAGACAGAGACTTAAGAAATTATTCCAGACCCTTTCCTCAGCTGCTGCCAAGGTGCTCAGTTCTTGCGAGAAAGCTAAGGCCGCGTTAGGGTGAGGCCCTCTCTTCATTCAGCGACTAGCACCATGCAGGCAGGCCACAACATGGCCTCCGTCTTTGAGCTCGCCTGCATCTACTCCACCCTCATCCTTCACGACAACGAGGTGACGGTCACGGAGGATAAAATGAATGCCCTCATTAAAGCACCTGGTGCCAATGTTGAACCTTTCTGGTTGGCCAGTGTCAACATTGGGAGCCTCATCTGCAACATAGGGAGGGGCTGGTGGACCTGCTCTGGAGCTGGAGCTGCACCAGCGGGTGGTCCTGCCCCCTCTACCGCTGCTGCCCCAGCTGAGGAGAAGAAAGTGGAAGCAAAGAAGGAAGAATCTGAGGAATCTGATGATGATGTGGGCTTTGGTCCTTTTGACTAAGCCTCTTATTAAAATGTCCAATAAAAAGATGAACCTGTTAACAAAAAAAAAAAAAAAAAAAAAAAAAAAGAAAGAAAGAAAGAAAGAAAAAGAAATTATTCCATATTATCTATTGCTTTGATGAGCCAGCATGCTAAGCAACTCTTACAAAAGAAAGCATTTGATTGGAGATTTGCTTACAGTTTCACCATTGCCATCATGGTGAGAAACAGAAAAGTATGGTGCTGAAGCAATTGCTCAGAACTTCCCGTCCTGATCCACAGGCATAGAGAAAGGCACTGAGCATAGCCTGGGCTTTTGAAACCTCAAAACCCACCTCAAGCAACACACCTCCTCCAACAAGGGCATACCTACCCCAACAAGGACACACCTCCTAATTCCTCCCCTCACCCCACCAACAGTCCCCATCAGCTGGGGGCTAGGAATGCAAATCTATGCACCTGGGGGGGGGATGAAGAAGGGTATTCTCATCCAATCCATCACACAACTTTGTGAACTAGTGAGGTTGTTGGGGGTCACAAAAAGCCCATTCCAGCAAGGGTGATGACACACAAAGGCTGCATCCTGGAACTTCCTGCATGACTTACAGGCATCATGTAAGTCCATCCAACTTGGCCAACAGCAAGCTTCTCCTTACCCCAACAATTTTACTGCTCATATAGCAGGGAGGGCAGGGCTTTGTGAATCTTGTAACTTTTCAAGCATCCTAAGGCTTGAATTTTTTTTTTTTTTTTTTATTTTCCTGGACCCCTGTTTTCTTTACTTCAGGAGTCTAACTGCCTTCCCTCCTCCCTCCAGAAGAGGCTATTTCAACTGGAAGACTTGCTTTTCTTATAGTTAGTTTAGTGCCAAGTTTTTCTGTTGCCTCATAGCACTCAGTCTTTAATTCAGTAGCTTCCCCTGCTTGTGTTCCAAGATCCCCTACTAACCATACTTAGCTCTGAAGCCCCAGGCACCATTGGCATGCCCCTTTGTTTGCAAAACCTTAGGGTGACTAGTGTTCAAACAGAAGCGTGTCTCCTAAATAGGGAGCTAGACAGCATACACAAATATGTGTGGGTGTGTGGGGGTCACAGAATTGAAACAGTAGTGTTCAGGAAGCTGAAGTAGAGAGCTCACGCTGATAGAGGACACTGAACTGTCTTTGTGAGGGACAGAGCCTTTCTCTGATCTTAGTGAGCTTGTTCTGGGGGTGTGGTGAGACTAAGGTCCTGGGAAACTCAACAGTCCCCAAAGCAGCCCTGAGACAGTGGCTTTAGGGTCCTCAGGAATTTGAAACATAAAATTCATGGACCACTGAGAGGAATTTAGAGACACGTTTATTAAACATGGAACTTAAGAGGAAGGGAGGAGGAAGGAAAGAGAGACAGAGAGGGAGAGGGAGGAAGAGAGCGAGAGAGAGAGAACTGTACAGTAATAGGACTCCTAGCAAATAGGACACCTTTGAGCTGCTAGTCTAAAGATATTGTAAAGGACTTGTGGCAGAAACCAGGTAGGGCATGAGAAGGGCATGAGCTGGCAAGTCCAGTTGGCCAATGGATTAGTGTCCTGGTACCAGCACCAGTTCCAGCCCCCTTAAGACAAGAAAGGACAGGGAAGCAGGAGCCAGAACTCTATTTTGGCATTTCTTATTCCAGGAAAGATACCCAACTGCTGTCTTGGGTATGTCCCCACCTTACATGACCATTCTTTACCTCCTGCTCTCATCAATACAAATGCAAAGGGACTCACTCTGGCTGGTAAGATAAGGCTAAAACTTAAGAAGCCAGTGAAAGCTGTTGGAAGTATGTAAAGCTCATTCAAGGGGAAAGCACAGGGAAAGCTAAGGAAATGCACAGTTTGTCCAAGGCACAAAGGGCAATTCACATGAGGGAATCATACAGAGCTGAAGCCCAGGGGAATTGGTTGCCTGTCAATTCCATGATAACTGCATTGGATACTCTGCAGGAGGGCCAATGGATGACACCATAACTCAAAATAAAGGGCTCCTTTGTGTGTATGATGTGGGGGAGCATGTCACATCACTGGCTGAAGTGTTCTGGTATGTTCCACAACTTCATGGGCATGATTGCTTTTTCTGGCATATTTTTGACATGCTCAAATACCCATGCATTATGAGCTTAATTTGCTAAGTTCATAGATGGTAGTATATAAGTAAGTTAGTTACTCATTTGTATGGTGGTTTGTGAGAGACAGAAATGATAAGTATTTTGAATTCCCCAGGAATGGATTTCTTTGTTGATGCACTAAGTTAGATAAGGCCAAATTAAAAGTTCAGGTTAATGAACAAAGCAACTCCCAGAGATTCTCAGGGGAAGCAGGAGAGAAATCACACTGCTCCCAAGGAGGGGGTCTTAAATACCTTGTAGGGGTGGTCTTTGAGCAGCTCCAGGCTAGGCTTTCTAAGTGAGTGGGGGCTTGGGGTGGGGGAATGAGACCAGAGAGGATATTCCCAACAAGATAGTGGTTGTATATTTGCACAAACAAGACAGCATCATTTTTTCCCTAAGCATTTTCATTTAAAGTGTAGCAAATAGTTGTTCTGTAAAACAGTCATCAAGACAAGGCATTGTTTGAAAGTTTCTGTTCATGCAAGCTAAGCACTTTCAAACTCTCATACAATAGGAACATAGTCTCCACAGGTAAGATTCTAGATAGAAAACGTACTCCAAAAGGATGGGCATTGAAGTGGGAGAGAAATGAAAAACATTTACTTGCAAGGAGGAGAATATAAGAAAGAGGTGTGCAAAGGCGGTGAAATATAAAATTGTTATATGATGAGAAGCTGAAATAATTAGAAGTCTGTTTAAGAAGTGTGTTGACAAGGCAAGGGAGGATGTCATTCTCTTCAGGAAATCTCATATTACCTTGTCCCACTTACACCTCAGCATCATCTCTTTCCATTCCAAGTAAAACTACACACTCTCCCTCAAATTCATATACATAAGGCCTCTGGCTTCAGCATGGGGGTCATTTCCAAACCCTGGGAAGGAGAGAGCTGAAGCAAAACAAAGAGAGGAGGAAGGAGACTAAGAGAGCTCATCTCATGGAGACACTAGGCCAGCATGCACAGAACAGCAAACAAAAATGAAACTGCATTTCAATCAGAAACTAAAAGGGAAGTGGTATATCTGTTTTAATGAAGACTACAAGCTGCCACGTTTTACATGTGCATAGTATTCATCTGCCCAGGCTGCCAAAACAAAATACCGTAGAATGGTGGCTTAAACCCCAGATCTTCCCTTCCCACAGCTCTGAAGGTCACAAGTAAGATGAAGTATTATAGGAGTTAAGTTTCTCCTGAGCCTTTCTTGGCTTATAAGAGGTCTGCTTGCTCACTGTGTCCTTAGTTTCCCTCTATGCTATGCATTACGTTAGGGTCTTCCCTAACACCCTGTTTAAATTAAGCACTCCTCCTCAAAGCCCAGCTCATTAAATACCGTCATATCTTGAGAACCTCAAGAAGAGTAAGGGATGGACAGCCCATGTGATACCTGGAAGGACTATGAGAATGCCACCTGAAATTTGGGGAAATCCCACTGAGGAATCTCCACATGTTATCCAGGAAATCAAGGTCCCTTCTTGGGGGTCTTAGTCTTGTTAATGTAAGAACTTAACAATGACTCTACTAGGAAACCTGTAGACCATTTTATTGGCGTTTAAAAGAAAAATTTCCTAACAGACAAGCTCTAAATCTCAGCCACTGCTGGAGGAGGGAGATGGAGAAGAGCAGAGAGAATGCTGTGTCCTTTGATCTGGGCTGCATGGAGGTCAGCCACGCAGACAAACAGACAAGCAGCCACATGGCCAGGAGGGGAGGGAAGCTTTAGAGGAAGAGCAAAGCCCAAAGGGTTAGGGAAAGCATGCTTAGAAAAGAGAAAGGACTGGTGGGGTGTGGTGATGCAGAGGCAAGTGGATCTCTGAGAGTTCAAGGCTAACCTAGTTCCAGGTCAGCCATGACTACACTGGGAGACCTGTCACACCCATAAAGGAAGGACAGGAAGGGAGGAAGAGAGGGAGGTGTCTGGTGGAAGCTCCACTGCAGCCCCTGGCACCCATATATCCAAAGAGTCTTAGATGATTTGGTGGGAGTCCCACTTCAACCTCTCTCCCCAGATCTCGACTTCCTCAGAAAGCCCACCAAACAATGGTCCTTCCCCTCAGAAAGCCTGCCATCAGCAGCTCCTTCCTGAGATGCCTGGGACCATGCCTAGCTATTTAAGACCCAGCCCATAGATCCTGCCATGTGTGCCCTACTAATTTCTTTCACCCACCTTCCTGAGAATCACCCCAAGAGTGCCGTGTTTTGTCCATTAAACCTAGATTTATTAATTCAGCTTGACTGGCTTATTATATCAGGGGCCCCTGATCCTAACTTATCAGGAGGGTGGCGGAGGAGGGGATGGAGGGAGGAGGGAGTTATGCTTTTTGAGTAACTGAGTAAAAAGCTGCATGGCTACAGCTCTGTAAGGGACTTCACTGGGGCCTGGAATTCTGAGGAGAAGAACATTATTGAATTAAAGAGATAATTATTCCTCCCAGATCTCTGACCTGGCTTACAGTGGGTCTGCTTTCCAGAGGTGTGGTCCCTTAGCCAGCTGGCTGACTGACGTTACCAGGAGGATTGGATCTCCACCTGACCAGAGATTTTATTTCTTACCTGGAAGGAAATAGTTTCCCCTTAATGCTACTGTGACAAGAAAGACAGATAGAGGGACTAGAAATTCAAAGACAGCACAGGCTTTCTTTATTCAGGAAAGGCATACCTGTGGAGGGGCCTGTAGCTCACTGTCTGCTTCCAGGCTGGGAGTGGCAGGGCAGGAAAGGAGAAGAGGGGAGGGAGTTAGACTCTTCCCGGTTTGGGTCTGTGGTTAGCCATTGCTGGTATGGCTTGGGAAACATGTGACCTGTGAGCTGAAGAATGCCAGGTGCTCAATAAATATCCCTGTGATCAGCCCTGGCTGCTGGTCAGTGCAGGAGAAGGCAAGAATCCAGAAAAACCAGTTACTTCAGCTCAGGGA